ATGCCCTGTTTATTGAACGCGTTTGCGTCAGAACGAGTTTCCCAACTAGGGCACAGCAAGTTTCCGGGCAGAAATAACAACGCGGAGCAGATCTGTAAATTTGTCCTTGTCCTCTTCCTCCTCTCAGTCCCGAAACAAAAATTTCGGGCTGCGGAAGAGTCCTTTAGAACGGCCCTTATGAGCGAAAAACTGGCGTTAGCCTGAATCGGATGCTATATAATATACTTCATTCCTAGGTTTCAAGCTGGCAGAAACTGATTTCGCCAGCAAGCAGCTCCTGCCTTCCGGGTGGTATACAGGTAGCGGTTACTCCTTACTTCTTCCCAGACACGCCAAGTGTCACAAAACCTGCCGCTCGGTTTTCCCGCGGCGGCCCGAATTTTCGGGAAATTTCCCGGGAAGGGGGGGGGGGAGGGATCAAGCTGAATCAACCAACTCCCATTCTTCTGGCCGATGGACCAGCCTTCAGGAACCGCCCTTAGGAAGTGAAGCTGAGCCTTCTCTAATGTCGAACATAACCCTAATACCAAACACACTCTACAAAGCCTTTGGGGGCGATGCATCTGTTTCCCTCGCGGCGGGGAGAATGCGTGCGCGTATGTGTACTATGTGGAGGGGACGTCCAGTCCTCCTCTCCCTCCCTCCCAGAATCCTTAGAAAAGGGGGAACGTGAACTAAAGGAAATGGTTAGGAACCGGGGTAGTGATTACCTAGTTGCACAGGTGCGGCTATAAAAAGGCCCACAAATTTGGCTGGGTATAAAGCAAAGTCGAATTCGACTTCTGATGACTCTCCCTGCGGTTTTGGTGGCAACAGGACCTCCTCCTCCTGCCTAGCTTGAAGAAATTCCCCTGGATGAGAACGGGGAGGCTAAACACCTCGGAGCCTAAGAGAGGAGCTGAACTCTCGAATCGCCGAGCTTTTAAAGAGACCTCCTCGCCTCTGCTCTCTCTCCCGTTCCCGGCACTGCGCCCAGTTCATCTCAACGCGGCGACCTCACGGAGTCCAAAGCAACCTTTCCCACCCACCCCCGAAGATATCGGTGTTTGCCAACCCAAAATAAAGCTGCGATCCTAAACGTTCCTTCCTGGGAATAAGGCTGCAGCTACTTAGGCCCAAGTATGATTGACTTGGGAAAGAGAACGAGCAACAGCATAGGATCGCGCTGCGTGTTAGGTCCTTAAATATCACCTTGCCCCTGCAAGCCTATTCTTGTCTACACAGAAATAACGTCCATTGGTCTTAATGGGGCTTGCTGCGCTGCCGCAGGTAAGAGCCTAAAAGCGTGGGGGCCACGGCGCTCAAGACAAAATCCCACCTGAAGAATCGAGCACTGTTGGCCGGGGGGTAAAAAAATCCACCCTCGGAATTTACCCGACGTGAACCCTATAGATTTCAATGAATCTCAATCCCAGGTAGAGTAACAGGTTTTACACACTTCTCGGCTTGAAGTGTCGGCTGGAGCATCACTGGATGCGTCCCTCCGATTTTATTAAGCGTGCAAGTTTTTTAACCACCCTGGAATTTTGCGGCGCCGAAGCGGAATATATGAATACTTCGCGCAGCATTTCGTCCTGAAATATAGGGGAACGAGGATGCCTGGCGCCTGTCCTGAAGCGACTTGAACAAGCTTCATGCGCTTCTAAACATAAACGAGCTGCCGATTCCCCTCCCAGAGAGTTAGAAGTGGAGGAGTCCAGCTTCTCCATCAACCCGCGGCTGGGGTTTTGGGGAGGGGTGGGAGCGGGGCTGAGCGGGGGCCCGAAAGGAAACGGGGGCAGGACGGGTTTGAAATGATTCAGGGGAAAAAAAATCCCCTTCTTATCTCCCCCAAACACGGCGGTTCAAGACATCGCTCAGCTGGAGTTTCAAAATCCTATTCGCGAGCGCCCCAGGAGAAGAGCGAGACATAAGAGCGGCGAGAAGGAGGCGGAGGCGGCAACCGAGTCATCTGAGGATAAAGTCCTTATAATCCCAGGCAGAGCTACGTAGGCTCTCGCCCAGCCTCCTTTCTCCCGCTTCGCAAGCAGGGGCGGTCCGAGGCTGCAACGCCGCTGAGTCAATTTTTCTCTCCCTGCGGAGCAAGCCAGGACTCTTGACAGTCTGCATTATTTCTCAAGCTTAATGTTGATTAACTCCTTGCAAGTAAGCATTGCCCAACAGAAGGGGGGGCAATTCTCCCTCATCTGTGGGCTTGGGGGTGAGTGGCGGCGGCGGCGGCGGAGGGGGAGTCTGTCTCAGGAAACTAAAGGAACGATTAAAAAAAAAACCTAAAAATCTATCCTTGAAATTAGACGGGTGGCAGGTTAATATACTGGGTCTATGCGTGTTTTGATTCTCTTTTCTTAGCAGTGGGACTCATTGGACTCAATGGGGCTTTTGAGTAGACATGTGCAGGACCAGGGATGGGATATACTCCCTATAATTCAATTTAGAATCATAGATCTCTGCTGGATGGTTATTGAAGTTTATTTTATGTCAATCTACACATACATGCATTCTATTTATAACCCAATGGTCAAATGCAATGCCCCGATACAGTGGTTGCAATCCTATGCATAGGGTTCCATGTTTATGGGATGCGGAATGCACACTAACAATCTTTATTGCCAAATGGTCTGTAGGAGTTGGGGAAGATATTCACCTCTTAATGGTACTGCCAAAATTAGAGCAAGGCATATTAATGCAAGCTGTCCTGTAGTGGAAGGTGCTGATGAGAGTTTGGGTTACAGAAAAAAGTTGTGTGCTCTTGAACAAGGTTGGGTTTCTTGTGTTCTCTGAGACTGGTTGTTTTCTTGCAGACGTTTCATTATCCAAACTGGGTAACATCAGCGCTGATGATGTTACTTAAATTGGGTAATGAAACGTCTGCAAGAAAACAAGCTCAGAGAACATCAAGGACCTCTCATTTCAACCCTGAGCTGCAAATATATTTATTTTATTGGTACTCTTAAATAAATTAATAACTTTGAAGCTGCAGCTAAAAATTATTAAGCCAGGCTTCACTAGCCATCACTGAAAGTCATGGGATTTAGGAGTGCTATTCGTCTTTGACCACATGATCAAGATCCAGGACATGTCTGGCTTTTCTCATGCTTCTCTTTATTATGCCTAATAAATGTCTTTATTTTTTCACTACAGAATGACCTTTATCCCTCCTCATAAGCTCCTGTTGAGTTTTATTCTCTTGGGGAAGAGTTGGCGCACCCATGTCCCTGTAATTTCAAATCTTTTTGCTCCACTGTCTCTACTGAGCCTGTTTGCGTACTGAAGCTCTTGCAGCAGCAGGAAGATATTAACATTAATAATTTTAATTAGTGAGAAAACTGGCCAAGCAAGTACGGTACCACCTCACGATTCAAATCATTGCTGCACCAGGTCCACCTTATCTAGGTTGTAAGAATCAGGTCGACCTCTAGGTGACAGCAAAAATACAAGGAAAAAACTCTTTGTAGGCATCCAAGATTCACAGGCTAGACTAGGGCCTAGGCCCACCTTAACTGGCCACTTACACCCCCCCCCCAAAAAAAAGTGGCCCTATGCCACTTGCTTCCTGTTGGAACCAGGATATTTACTTATGAGCAAAATTAACCCCTAGGGTTGCTTCCTACAGGCTTTCTAGATCTCTTTATCATCCCATCTATCTGTGTTTCCCCAGTATCAAAGATACTAGATTAAGGGAAAGCACCATTCCCAATGAAAGGGCTACACAAAAGGTTAGAAATATCCATCAGTTACAAATTGCCCCCACGGCCACTCTTCATTATCCAGCATCCCTGATCTGGTCCTCCGTGTGTAGATGACTGCTGGGATTGCGTCACTTTCTCCGGTAAAACGGCGCTTAGCACGACGCGCCAGCGCTCAAAAGACAAGCCGGAAGAGATTGGAAGTCGAGCCACAGTCGGGAGGATCTTGGAACCGGCTGTTGCAATGACTCGCAATTAAACAGGTGGAAGTCGAAGCGCGCGAAATGAGCGGAGGCAACCGAGAGAGGACGAGCCCCAAAGTCTCGCGAAAGGGAAACGCACAAAGGGCAAGTTTGACACAATTACCCGAGGGGAGAAAAAAAGGGAGGAGGCCGGGGCTCCTCGAGAAACCTCTTCGGGGTGTGGGTGGGTGTGCGCTCTCGGAGCGCCATTGCCCTGATGGAAACGGCACGAACAGGCAACAGTAGCGACTTCTGCGGAAAGGGCAGGCGAGGGCACCGCTCGCTTTGACGCCTGCCACCCCGCCCCTTCCGTCGCGCCAGCCGCTTCGGTCCTCCCCCCCCCCCCTTTCTTCATGGTTGATCGGGGATAAGCTTGTTTAGATCATTAGGTAATAATTACACCTTTCGGCCAAGGGAATGCGGCCTGCTCCACACTGACGCAGGGTGACCAGAGGGCCTTCATTTCTCGAAACATACTCGTTTACACCGGGAACAAAACGGGCGTACCAGCCCCCCCTCTCCGCCTCCACATTCCCTCCCCCCCGGAGGAGAAGCAAAAAATACCGGCGCGCTCGTTTGCGTGGCTCAGGCTTTGCTTTCCTGGGCGGGGGGGGGGGGAGAAGAAGAGAAGAGGGGGAAGTGTTCCTTCTTTAAATCCGGTTTCCATTCACTTTCAGCAGGAGTCTGGCCCAGAGCCTAATCGAAAAGTGGCGGAAAGCGTCCCGCGGAGGAGGCCAGGGCTCGAGGCTCTTCACCACAGAGCCCCAGCCCTTCTTTCTCCTCCTTTCACCTTTCGGCTCCCGCTCACTTGAAAGCCGGGGCGCCCCGAGGGCCAGACCTCTGCAGTGTTAACCCTCCCCATAACGCACGAGAGCGAGTTGGCAATCCTCTTGCCTTTACTTACTGGGGAAATGCATCTGATTGAGGCCGCCTAAGTAATTTTCTGCGTGGGATCGGGCCGCCTGAGCGCGCCTCCTCGACGCCTCTCGTTTCGAGGGCTCCCCCCTCCCCTCCCCCCTCTGTCTGGGTTTGATACCTCCCCTTAGTTCCTTTGCTTCCCTCGGATTCTTACCTCTCCCGGCTGCCTGTCTTTCTCCCTGCGGAATGATTATTTAGGGCTCCCTCCCTCCTCCCCACTTCAAACGGGGGGGGGCGGGGGGGTTGGAAAGGCAAGGCTCGTAGCATCCCTTCCTCTATATGCCTCCAAGGAGGGAGGGGGCGTTTGCCAATCTGCCTCTTTGCCTCGCTCATTCGCTCTTTCCTCTCCCTCCCTCCCTCTCTCCCGTAGCCTTGCGCGCCCCCGGCTCCCTCTGCGGCAGCCAACGAGCCGGGTTCACGCGAGGACAGCGGCAGCTCCCAGCCGAAGCGCGTCTGGCTGGCAAGGGCTCTGGAATAGCGCCGCTGCCGCCGAGTGGCGGAGGCGGAGCCGCCCTTGTCGCTGACTCGTGACGGACTCCTGAGGCCTCGGATTAGTCGGCCGGCTGCAAGGCAAGCGCGAAGGGCCGGGCTACCGCCGAGCTGGGATGCCGCATCTCTCTCCGGTCAGGTGCCTTAATCTCCACAGTTCCCCAGTGAGAATTTGAACGTAGTCAGAGACTGCATCGTTTCTTCCGTTTCAATGAGCCCGGCTTTAAATATTAGGTCCGTTGTTCTACTCTACCCAGTTCTCTGGCGCCACATAGCATTATTAAAACAACAACAACTAGTTTAGTTTAGTTTATTAGTTTTGTATGCCGCCCACTCTCGGAAGACTCGGCTTACAATAAAAAAGGGAGTGGGAATATATAAAACAATACAACAATTTAAAATTACAGCAACATTCATAACTTAAAGTGGGGCTGGATGATGAAACAGCCCCAGGCCTGCCGGAACAGCCAGGTCTTAGTTGCTTTACGGAAG